GTGTGGGCCGCCTGGGTCCCTATGGTTTCTCAGGCTGCTGGCTGTCACCTGCAGCTTTGACGAGGAACACGCCGCTGTCCAGATCACTGAAAACCTGTCAGGGATCTGTTCAGCGGCGCGTTTTCTCCTCACAGCTGCTGCTGAGTCAGCGACAAACAGCAGCTGTGGAGGAGGCTTGGCCGGCGTCGGCAGCAAAGGAGGAGGCGGGGCCTTTTGCTATGGGGCCCTGCGATTTCTAGTTACACCCCTGACGCTGGCAGAGAGAGAAGGGGGCTTCAGCCGGCGGGATAAGGTGTGCCACCAGGTCCCCTCTTCTCTCGTGCAGTTGTCGGGCCCTCAGTCCATGACCGAGTGCCCAACTTTTCAGAGGGGGTGGAACCAAAATGACTGTCAGTGTCACCCTGTGTAGGCTGCACCCCCCTCGTGACGCCACTGGGTGTACTGTCCGCAGGGCTGTAGCTACCATGTGGCGAGTGAGGCATTCACCTCAGGTGCAGCTGGGAGGGGGCGCAGCCAAGGCCGGCTGACTGCGCCCCTGTTGCCATGGCGAGCACGGGGCGCCATTGGCAACGGCGGCCAACACAGCCACGGCTCGGAAGGGAGAAGAGGAGCTGCACAGGCACCAGCTTCTCGGATCCCCTCTGCTCTCCACCGCCTGTATGGGCAGAGATTTGGCCACAAGCGCATTCTGCGCATGCGCTACACCCATCCTGGAGGCGGGGCGCATGACGTCACATACCGCACATGTCTGTTGGGGGGCACAATTTTCCATTCTTGCCTCGGGCACAAAAGGAGCAACGGTAGCTACGGCTCTGACTGTCCGCACCCTGTGCTCTGGATTTTGAATTTCGCTCACAAATGGCGAGCACTCATTGGTCAGCGTGGTCAGAAGCGCTTCTCATTGGTCAGTGCAGTCAGGTGAAAGTCCATATCGCAGGACTCAACTACACGGCAGTACCGGGTACGGATCACCAGCAGAGGAGAAGGCGCATTCGCCGAGAGGTAAGCATAGCGGGGGGGTGAGATTGGAGGGGTCATTCCATTTCCCTAAATTCTTTTGGGAGCTTACCCTTTAATAAAGAGCCATGCTGGGAGTAGTAGTTCAGCACAAGCTCCCCTGGGCCTGTGCTGTGAAATGAGAGCACACACCTCATGCAGCCTGAGACTTGCTCATCCAGGCAAAGTATCCTCCTGATTTCATGCAGCATGCCCAGGGGGAGCAGCAGAGGAGTGTATGCGTGGCAGTCTCCCCAGCCGTCTGCAGGAGGGGCCAGCCTGGGTGTGAGCACAACTTTTCCTGCACTCCGCACCAAACTTTTTACAAACTCTTTCAGAACTCCAGCGCAGCAGTAGCAGCAGCGCGTCATCGCTCCGCAAGCAAGACGCCTGCCACCTCCTGACTCTCCATCGCCGGCTTTCCAGAGCCCTGGCCCATCACCATGGCTAGTGCGAGACACAGGAATAAAGCCAATTCATCCGACAGCCATCCGCCGGCTGCCGCCGCTGCTGCTGCTGCAGGCAATGACGTGGCGAAGAAAAACCACAAGCCGGGCAAAGCGGCATCAGCGCCAGCGGGCGCCGGGCTGCTGCACAGACTGCTCTCCTTTGTTCTGTACGCGCTGCTGATCGCGCTGGCCGCCGGCATCGGTTGGCTGCTTTATAACCTGCTGGAAGAAGTCTCCCTCATCAACAGCAAACTGAAGCACTTGTCGGAGCAGAAGGGGGAGCTGGCGGAGACCGTGCACGGGCTGCAGAAACAGGTAATGGTCTGATTCATGGAGGGGAGCGCTGAGGACGCGCTGAGAGTTCATTGTACTGCGGTCACATCCGCTGAAATGGATGGCTGGCCACTTGATGGGGGTTCTGGTGCTTTGCAAATTGTCCTTGCTTTGCTATTGCAGGAGCCTGAGGATTTGGGGTGCATTCACACCCCCTGATGCACCGGTTAATGATCATTACATGATACCGCGCTGTATACGTGCGTTGCATTGCAATTAATTGTTAGTTGGACCGCAATGTGCGTTGAGTTGCTTTTGCATTTTTAGGCCCATTCATGCGTGAGCGGTTTGTCCTGTGATTCCCGAAGCGTGACAACGCTCAAGATGAAGAATCCTGGTATTCAGTGGTGTCACGTAGGGGGCGAGGCCTGCACTGGGTGACACCGTCAGAGGGGGTGACACCAAAATGGCTGACCGTCATTCTGGTGTCACCCCCTTCTAAAAGCCGGCCACTTGATCATGGCACAAGAGAGAGAGGGGGGGACCCGACAGCATACCTGACCCCACCAGGGCAGTATCCTCTCCTCTCTTTGCTGGCGTCCATCACCATGATGGCTGCCGGCAGGGAAGTACATCACCATGCATATGATGTCACACGACGGATGTCATAACACATGCACGTCGGCCACTACGGGTGACACCCACCCTGGTGCCGCAGCTGCTATTATTCTAAATGGGCCCGTTTATACCTGAGTGGTTTGTAGTGCGATACCCGAAGCGCGACAATGCTCAAGCTGAAGAATCCCATTCTTCTTAATGGACCTGTTCATAACTGAGTGGGTGGTAGCATGATTCCTGACGCGTGACAATGCATAAGATGATGGATCCTATTATTCTCAATGGGCCCATTCATACCTGAGTGGTTTGTAGCATGATTCCCGAAGCGCGACAATGCTCAAGATGAAGGATCCTATTATTCCCAATGGGCCTGTTCATACTTGAGCGATTTGGTGCGCAGTTCCTGAAGCGTGACCATGCTTCATAATGAACTCTGTTATCCTCAATGGGCCTGTTCATACCTGATACCTGGTTTGTTGCGCAATATCGTTCAAGATGAAGAATCCTATTATTCTCAATGGGCCCGTTCACATCTGAGCTTTGTGTCTCTGGTTGCATGGAGCTCACGGTACACGAGTTTCCCTTGGGGCAGAATGGCACGTTTTGGCCCCATTGATTGTAATGGGATCGCCTGACAAATTGGGCATTTTTTAATTTGAAAGTCTATGGGGCCTAAAGTGCGCAATTCTGCTCCTGTACTACAAGTTGTGTGTTAAAATAAGTGCAAAAAGTCTCTAAATGGCCTGGCTACGCTCAGGCTTAGGTGTGACCAGGGCCTTAGGGCTCACTCACGCCTTATATATGCTGACCAATCGGCTTTTCTTTTCAGTTTGTTCAATTAAGCTTTGAAAATGAAAGGGAGAAGCTGATTGGTTGCAATGGAATTGCTCCAGACTCCATCTGCTCCAGACTCTATTTATGAATCCCCCCCAGAGTACATCACCAGCACACCGAAGATATTTGTCCAAAACGCCATTTATAAAACGCCATTTATTCACGTCGTCTAAGCATTATTTTCAAACAAACAGCAGTGTTTCAGGACCTTCAAGGGGCCCGGAGTGGTCCTGAAACATTGCTGTTTGTTTGAGTATAATGTTTAGATGTCAATAAAGGCATTTTAGACTAACTTCCTCGATGTGCTGGTGACATACCCCATGCCAGAGATAAGGAACACTGGCCCTCCAGCTGTGCTTTCACTACAAATCCCAGCATGCCTATGCCTCTAGGAGTCATGCCTGTAACGGTCAGTCTTGCAATGCCTCATGGGACTTGTAGTTCCACAACAACTGGAGGGCCAACTACAATGCTGTGTTGTGAGTTGTGTAAACATTCAGCATTTTGTTACAACACACCTCACCTCATGTCAGCGTATTTCATCATACCGCAGCGGATGTGCAATGCACAAAGATGAATGAAATGTTATTTTGTGACATTTCAATAAAGTTTTTTTTTTAACGTTGCCTTATTTTGTAGCAATGCCAAGTACCGTCCCTCACAGCTTGCACACAATGGACACCGCACATTAAAATGGCCCATTTTTAGCGTGCAGGCTGGGGTGAATGAGCCCTAAAACACAGGGCTGAACCTGCACTGAAGTGCATTTGTAACCCAAATGCAAAAATAAACAGGCTGCCTTATGCAGTGCAACTCAGTGAGGGGAATTTATCAAAACTGGAACAGACTCTGGAGCAGTTGCCCATGGCAACCAATGAGCTTCTCTTTCAATTTCTAAGCTAAACTGAAGAGAGAGCTGATTAGTCACTATGGGCAACTGACCCACAATCTGTCTGCTCTAGTTTGACTAATCCCCTCCCCCATGTATTAAAACATGTGCGGTAAAGAAAGTACTACTTATGTTTGATGTGAATGAGCCCTTGTATGTAAAGACAACACTTTTAAGGATAGAGGTGGTTTAGGTTAGACCAGGGGTGTGCCACTCTGGCCCTCCAACTGTGTTTTAACTACAAATCCCAACGTGCCTCTGGGAGGCAGGCCTGTGGCTGTCAATCTTGCAATGGGACTTGTAGTTCCACAGCAGCTGGAGGGCCGGAGTTGCCCACCCTTGGGTTAGACCCTATGTCCAATTTTTATTGCTGTATGTGTCCCCACTCTATTTGTCGCTCACTATATCTGCATATACTGTATACACATCTAATTGATTATACAATACAGCAGTGGTAGTAAACCTCTGCCCTCCAGCTGTGGTGAAACTACAAGTCCCATGAGGCATTACAAGACTCTGACAACCACAGCCCTGACTCCTGGAGGCAGATGCATGATGGGGATTTGTAGTTTTGTCACAGCTGGCGTGCCAAGGTTGCCTGGCCCTGCAGTACAGGGTCAGTAATTTACCCTCGCTTCATTGGTCCCGACTGCTACACCCATACTGTGCCATTCAATGACGCTGCTCCTCATAACCTTTTAGCAAAGACATTTTTTGCCTGATGTATTTTTGGATCCTACGTAAATAAAGTTAAGTGGACGGCAGGATGTGTAATGTATTTCTGTACATGCACCAATGCCTGGAATGAATGAGAGGCTGAACTGCCATTAGAGCAGACGACACCAGATGTCTGTGTCACTTACAGGGGGGGAACAAACATGCCTCCAGGATTCCAGTATGTGCAATGTTTATGTACCTGATCTTTTATATGGAAATTAGGTCACACGGTGTCATTGTAGGCTGTTTACTGGCTCTGTATATACCGTGTTACCCCGAAAATAAGACACTGTCTTATATTTTTCTTTGGTTCAAAAAACACACTAGGTCTTATTTTCGGGGTAGGTCTTATTTTTTTGTTAATGTACAACAATCTGCACTTATTCATGTACAAAAATAGGGTGATCGGGGCAATCAGGGGTGCCGTACCTTTCCAAGAGCAATTTGGTAACCAATCGCTGGCCAGGATGAGCGAAGCGCACTTTCACTATCGATTCCTCACAGGCGGAGTGCATTTGGTATCACTCCGCCTGTGACAGGAGCCGGCACTATAGAGGAAGCATCGGCTTATGCGGCTCTGCTCGCTCCAGTGTCGCTTTGCTCCCCCTAACGCTGGCTTCGTTGGCACTGCTCATTCTCTCCTGCCTCTCCCGCGGCTCTTCAAGTTCCCCCTTAGGCCACCACCGGCCCTGGGAATGGTCACAACTAGGTCTTATTTTCGGGGTAGGTCTTATATTTTAACAATTCCCAAAAATAGTACTAGGTCTTATTTTTGGGGAAACAGGGTAGGGATAGGATGACACCCTGCTGCATGGTGCTGTCACACAGGAAGAAGGCTGGGCAGTGTTCACTTCCTTGTGGAATAAAAGATACAACAAATTACTTGTGTAGATATGTAGGTGTGTGCTGTGGGTTGTGTTGGACGCCTCTACTAGACTACACGGGCAATTGTAATCTCTTCCTACTAATGCAGCTTTATAATCATTAATAAATAAAACCATTTTTTTAAAAATGCAAGCAGTGTAAGTACCTAAGAGAAGCGCTTCTGACCAGGCTGACCAATGAGAAGCGCTTCTTGCTAAGAATATGTTTATTGACGTACATGCACAGACATCCCAACTCTCCCGGACTATTAGATAGCGGCTCCCGGCCACCCGGGAGAGAAACTTTTTCTCCCGGACAGGTTTACTCTGCTCTATTTAGCAGAGTAAACCTTTCGCTGCTGTCTGTTTTTCTTTTTTCTGACATCGTGGCCGCCGTCACTCATAGAAAAAAAAAAGCATAGGAATGAATAGCTAGATTGCTATTGGCTATTTCAATTTGCAATAGCCAATAGCAAGCTGGCTATTGAACCTGCCCTCTGCTGCTGTCAATCAGCAGAGGTGGACCTGAAGTTCTCCATCAGGTCCTCCTCTGCTGATTGACATCAGCAGAGGGTGGGTGCAATAGCCAGCTTGCTATTGGCTATTGCAATTTGAAATAGCCAATAGAAATCTAGCTATTCATTCCTATGCAGTTTTTAAAAACAAGACAATACAAACTCCTTGGGCATGGTATCGTGTTTGTCAGAACTTAAAAGATGAAATACTGCTTCCAGCCCTGCTTCATTCTGAATACAGGTATATAGGGAAGAAATGTCCAAGGTAGCCAGGTGTCAATCATCATGAACTGTAAAAGATTTTGAAGAAAGTCACTGGTGTCCCTGGTGTATGCAGGCAACTTTTTAACCAGTGGTTGTAGTATGGTGTCTATCATCCTGGCCATAAGTTGTGTAAATAGT